TATCTTGATACGAGATACCACATATCTGACTTTGAGTGAACCAACAATGTTACTTGAGACAAGAAAAAAATATTTAATAAAAGACATTCTTCCTTGCACAGTGTCATTGAGAGGACTTTTGGTGTTTGAAAAAAGAAATGAGTTATACTTCACGGTATATCATCTTACTCGTTTCTCAAACATACGCAGACTGTGATTGCCATTATGACTCTTCACAATTATATTATGCGGCATCCTTCCCGCAACGACATCTACTTCCGTAGGGCGGACAAGGATCATAAGCGTGCCCCTACCCAGACATATGAGCTGTCTTGGACAGTCTGTCACAAACTGAAAATGATGTTTCTGAGACCCGTACTAAAGACGGGGAAGGTGCAAGCCAGATGACAGAGTCGAGGGAATGAATTACAGATGCGATAGTAAGAGGGTGATTGTAGTTTTTATCATTTTATTAATCACAATGGTTTTTGAAGAGATTCAATTTTTATTATATTTGTATTTTATACAGTTCATATTTATTTCTGTTCCTCGTGTATTTAATATTGATTGTTTTGATTTTTTATGTTATTTGTAAGTGTTTTTTTTTTCTTTTGCATTTCTATTATTTTTTTGTGGGTTTTGGAGGTCTATGATGAGAAGTTTGACCTTATAGGTTCTTCTGGATGACCTGTTTGTCGCTATTAGTTGGCGTCACATATGAAATCCTAATGAAGGCAATCAAGTTGCTCTCTTTTTTTATGTTACGATTTTTGATGTTTTTTGAATGACCTTTTTTTGGTAATATGCATATGTGACACGCACAGGCTTGATTTTAAGTGAGTTAATGGTAACCATGAAATTTTTTCTTATAAAGTCTGTTTTCTTCTTGTAGTAGCAGATTCATTGGTTGATATATTGAGTTCTCTGAGACCCCAATGCTGTGTAAACCTATAATTAATCACTTTTGTTATTATTTTTTACTTGTGTTATGTCTAATGTGATGTCTTTTAAAAGATTCAGGAAAGATAAACTCGAGGATTTCTGGTATCTCTCGAGGATTGTATAGCTACTGTAGACTTCAAGGTTCTCTGCTAATTTTACGTTAAGTACATAACTACAGGAGAAAGTTTTACAGGTGCTCGCAGAGAATTAAAAAAAATTATGACTTTTTTGGTGGGCAGATATGTTGGAAGTTTCCACCGTCGAGAGTGATCGAACATGAATAGTATCCCTTGAGGATGACTTAGCTCGTGACATACGCCGTCTGCATTTTAAAAATAGTATTATAAAATTATTAATTGTTATTTGAATAGTATTTTTTCTAAAATTTAGTTATCATGATACTCACTGTTAAGTTAGATATTTATCTTTTTTATTGTAATATTTTGCACTGAAATTTTGCTTGTAAAGTATAAAATATATTGGTATTATGACAGTTTTGTTACAAATGACATTACTATACAGGGGCATATGATCATTTGTCCAGAAACAATTACAGTACAATTGTTTTCAAACAGTAAAAAAATAAATGGACAACCAACTTATCTGCTGTAGTTTTTGCGTAACAACTTCCTGTGGCTGCTGCTACACATCAGCTTATTATTAAGCCGCAGCTGCCCAAATTGGCCCCTACTAGTCGACAGAATTGTCATTTGTCCAGAAATAGCTGCAGCACAGCTGTTTTCAAACTGCAAAAAACAAGCAGACAACCAGCTTATTTGCAACAGCTTCTGCGCAGCAGCTTATTATTAAGCTACAGTTGCCCCAAACAACTTTTAACTATAGTTAAGGTTGAAGATCTAATTAACATGGAGAAGTACCTCGGGAATGCTATGCTATATGAGGATATTGTGTAGCTTTACACTGAATATCATGAGATTGTAATTAGGCCAATGTCATTGTATGGTTTCGAGTATTGAGCAATGAAAGGTTTTTAATATCAAAATTTAGTGTAACAGAAATAAGAATGTTAAGATAAACGTGTGATAAAAATAGAAATGGTATATTTAAGAATGATTTTATTTAAAGAATGGTTTAAGTGATACTTATTAAAGACGATATATTAGAAGTGGAATTTATGGACATGTACAATGAATGTTTAAAAATGTGTTTGTTAGATACAACAACAAAGCCTCAACAACAACAACAACAACAAAGCCTTAATCCCACTA